GCGCTGGTAGGATGACAATGTTCTCGTCGTTTCTCAGTCGTTTCAGTGCGCGTTGTTCGTCTTTAGTCAAGTTGCTGTCATGTAGTGACGTTGATTGTGTAGTGGACGCAATTCTGCTTCTGATGTCATCCTTGGTCGGCTCAGATAGCTCTCGTTGCCGAGACAGTTGAAATGGAGAACAATAAAAAAATGTGGCAGAGACATGTATAAGTGACGAACACAAGAAGAACCCGTAAACTCACAGTATGACCCAGTCCTTTTTTCTAATTAAGGTTCTCCCGACACAACAGTGGTCAGATGTATTCCTTTTGAAGACTACATGCAATGCATCCACTTATTGTACTTACGTTGCCTTATCATTTGAAGTTGTGAACTTGATAGAGTTTCTGACGGACTTGAATTCGCTTTAGGGGAATGTCCGAGAAGATAAGTGTCTTCGGTCACGTGATTACCCTCTTGACCATTAGGAATTTCACCTTTATCTGTAATAATATGGCCACTCTCAACTAAAGAAATTTCATTATTCTCGTTGATATTTGAAGGACGTGACTCCAAAAAGCTAAGAGTGCAGTCGACGATTGTACCCAGAAGGCATAGGGACAAGATGTAACCACAAAGAGCCCTATTGAAAGAAAAACTAGAGCTTAGATAAAAAATAAGAACTTTACCACAGAGTCGTATCATTCTTTCTCTTCCTTGAAATGTGCGCCGCCGTCGTGTAAAGTTGTAAGTCTAACCGTTGTGAAATTGTCTTCCATCGCGCAAAAAATTCTATAACAGACGCTCCCCATATCAGATAATCAATTGGGAACAGAAATCGAGCCACGAAATACTTTTAATCAACTTGTTTTCAAGTTTTCAAAGATAACAGTTTCTAAAATCGTACTGAAACTCGCAACTGGTGCAGTGGGTGAGAACAAAATGTAGCCTCACATCTGGTTCACCGAAGTTGAATATCGATTATTGGCCCGCACTGGTCGGTTGATTGCCTAATATATAGATAACTGAGTCAAGTAAATAGTCAATGTAAATAGTAAAATATTTATAGGATTTTAATGTTAGCAACTTATTGTAAGTAGTTTATCGGAAGTGATGCATTTGTAGGGAATGTGCTATAATATAGTTTATGTATTGTAAACAATAAATGTCGTAAATAAGATTTGTAATATTAAAAAACCAAAAAAACAAAAAAACAAAACAAAAACACAGAGTTGATATTGTAATGAAGTGGCCAATTTGCATTATCAACTCATTAAAAAACAATACCCTCCACAATACCCTCCACAATCGCAGCATCACAGTTTCCCTAGGAACCTACCCTCCTTAAGATATCGATTTGTTATTAATGGCTGTTGTACTTACAAAGTGATGATAACACCCGTTGTGTACTCAGACTTTTTGTCGCAGACCACAGATATCTCCTTCGATCCAATTTGAATGGGCTTCAAGCTGACCTGTGGAATAACTAAAGAAGGATACAGGTTGAGCTGTAGAGTTGGAAAACAAAATAAGAATAGATTCTCAATTTAGACGTTGGATAGCGGGCAGTAGGCAATAGGCCATTTTACAGTTTTTTACTTAGCTGCCAAGCCTTTGATTTGGAGTGAGGCTGAAGGTGACCTTATTATGATAGAGACCAGTATGTAGTTAGCATGATAAAGTGACTTACTTTTGAAAAGCACCAACGCTTGTATCATTAGGTCACCCTTAGCCTCACACTTGTTCAAAGTCTTGGCAACCAAAATGAATTATTATCTATTCCTGTATACCCAACAAATTATCTCGCTACCGATTGGTCAATGACGAAAGCATGTGTGATTTTCATGTTGCACTCCATTAAAATTCTTGAGTGAAGTACGAATAATGATCATTTCCCTACAGTGATTGAAAGTTTCTTGAGCAGGGTTTTTCTTTTAGAGATGAACCCAGTCAGTCAATTACTCTAACAACCTTGAAACTAAAGCTTGGACAGAAGTGTTGTACATACTGTTGAGGACCTGTAAAGATTATCATAAAAAACGTAAACACGTGAATCGTTTTAGATTTAGTATTTATGCTAAGGAGGGAAACTTTGGGAATTTCGTAGAAAGAAATCTCACATTGCAGTGATTAACCTCGATGTCAAGTTTAAGTTCTCTAAACATGATTGGTTAGCCAAAGGAAAGAAAAGGGAAAAAGAAAAATGAACCCTGAACGTTATTGAAAATGTCAACAACAACATAAAATTGGGTTGTTGCGAATTCCTCTCAAGTTTTCAAAATATTTTTGAAAACTAAACTAGTGTGTAGCACGGCGATCAGTGGTTGTAAGACATTTTTATTCTCCGACGCGTTTCGTCTAGCTGTTGTAAACTTCTTCAGACTGGGTTAAAAAGTAACTCTACACGACTGTATTTAGAAGCCATTGTTAACGGCTCTTACAGGGTCAATGACCATAGAGGCTTCCTGTTCGGACTTATGAACAGGAATGGGCGAAATTATGAAAAATTTGAAACGTCGAAGGCAAGGTTAGAAAAATCTTTTTGGGAGCCCTTGTTTTCGCTAAAACGCCCCCTGCAAAAAGCTCCCTGAAGAAGTTTATGACAGTTAGACGAAACGCGTCGGAGAATAAAGAATTTCTATAACTACTGTTCGAAGAAGTTCTAAAAAATTGTTAATTTTTTTTAAATTGTACATTAATCAAACCTCTTACTTTCCTTTTGATCGGAACTAGAATAGCTGTTATTAGTTGCAAAATTCAGATAATGTGCTAAAAGCGAGTTGAAAAAAGGGTTGCAAGTGGGTACTCATTAGACAAAGATTATTATCAGTAAATTTTGAATGTGTGCAAAATGGCTCAGTACTGCATTCATGTCAGTCCCTCGTAGGTTTAAAACGTATAGTTTGATATCGCGATGGTGGTTTTTTTTTTGTCAACTTTTCAAGCAACCATGTCTTGCATCTAGATTTTGTATTTTTCCGAGCTCCTCAATGTCCTCCTCTTTTGTATTAAGGAAGATGGCTAGTATACAACCGATAGACATCGTGCGTTCCATTTACATATTGAATAAATAAATTATACTGCACGAAATGCCGTACATTTGAAGATGAATCGTAGAGCACGGGTTATGTCATGTTCACTGCACTGTTTTGGTGTACAGAGGCCCCAGGGAACCGGAATTGGAAGGTCCTAAAATGAAAATAAATTAGAAGTCGTGTTAACTTCGTACGGTTATCAGTTTTCCATACGTGGTCAAATGGTACATGAACAGATAAAAGAGAAAAAGAGAAACAATCAGAACGTAAGAAATACACTACCCATGGCGGAGAATGTGGATCAATGTCATTATCTGAACAACTGCGCATGCCCACCTATCCACTCTCTCTCTTCCCCATATCTCCCTTTTATTTTATTTATAGAATGGAATAATAGCCATCTAGCTGGCCCAAGACCTACCTTAGGAAGTGATGATATTGACAGAAAGGCTGTGCAATAGTGGGCATCAGCGATGGTCTTCGTGCATTCGCTGTATGATCCAAGCATGGCAAAATTGCCAATTAGCATTCCACTTCCAGGTTTGCCAAGTGCATCCAGGTCTGCAAAGTAATGTGTGTCAAGTATGAGTGACTGAAAACAGCTTTTTTACCCTCAAAACGCAGGTAAAGCTTCCCAGGCCGTCCAACAAGGATACAGATACATATAGACGTAAAATATTTTCCGTATAATGCCGCTCGCTCAACTAACTCCCCGTTGACCTATTGGCCTCCCTTAATAACGCCCTCCAAAATTAACTGAACAGATCAAAACAATGATAATAACGACAAACAGCTAAACATAACGAAGAAACTGTATTTGCAAACACTCGTCATTTAAACTTTGTCATAGCTAAGGTTTTTCTCTAAGGAAAGTTTCTGTTTTTGGCACGCGCTGGCAAATCGATAGTTAACTCCGTATCGTACTAGCACCGGGTTACAGGATGTTGAATAGGTTTATATAGCCGGTTCTGTTCAGCGCAACTGAACGATTCAAACCGTGATATGCTCTGTAACTAAGAACATGGCTTTTAATTTTTAATTCCATCGTAAGCCACTTTTTTTATGTCCTTTTTTTATTGGAGGAATAATTTTTTCTTTCGGAAAGCTGCAGCTTACACAAAAAATCACATGATCTATTATAACAAAATAAATTCCACTCTCTCGTGGGTCTGTGTAGTAATAATATTTCAATAACTGTTTCGATTTCATGCGGTTAGAATCAAAATGAAGGACCTTAATCTTAGGGATATGTCAGTTAGAGATACGAGCGAGGTCAAAACTGAATCATGCTAGTATCTTGCTGTCATGACATGCGCATGCATGAAATGAAATATTTTCGCAAACTTAGCCGAAAAAAAGGTCAGGTTAAGGTATCCCGGATCCGGATTTTAGTTAGTAAAACGTGCGTTCGACGGATCGAGCAAAAAGTGCAGATCGCTAGATTTGAAGACCCTTACTCATCTCGTTCTATATGCAAGACAATAATTTATCTCCCGTGATTCAGCCGTTTTGGACTTGAAAACAAAACCCGTGGACTATCTTGACTAGCATAAAAACTTTCCGCCTTTTATTTCTCTGCGGATGGTTTTGGATTGTGCACGATGTGCATTCAAGCCCTGCAGGCCTCAACCGACGGAAATAGCGATGAAAAATTCGATATAATTCATTTCGTCCGTGATTGCGCAAGATGTAGTTTGGTGAGGGACTTTGTTTGTCTTATTGGTTGGCATTCTTGTTAAATTTTTCTCTAGATATATTTAGGTCCGTGATTTCCCTCTGTTAGTTAATTTTTTAGCTCATTCGATTTCACATCCCTGGACAGGAAAATGTTGAATACACCGAGGCCAACGTGAATTCAAATACGCAGCTTTATTTAATTGGTTAGGCCTTCCGTCCCCAATACCCGAAAGGAATTTTTTACCGACTGAAACGAAGCTTTGTAAAAGCACCAGTTAGATTGGGTAAATTTGAAAACGCTGGCTAAATCTTCTTCGTGTGTGCGGAAAACGGAAACGGAAACGAAAACGGAGCTTTTCGAAAACGTTGACATCACGCACATGACGATAATTTCAACAAGACAGAAAACGTGGTTGTTACTACTTTGTTTTTTGTCCGTTCCTAGTCGACGCTCTGGATCGTCTGCGATGATTTGTATTGGATTGTTACATTTAAAAGCTGAACTGTGCGCGTAAAGTAGTCCGATTTACTCTTTACATCAGCGTTTTTCTTCTCCTTTTTACGACATGCTGTTAAGGTTATTGAAGAATTTTCTGTAGCAAGTGTTCGATTAACAGACTATACAACACAAATTACAAAACGACGCAGTGAGGAATTAGCGTGAGTCACGCATGGACCGAGGCAGGTCACGTTTTGTGGTTGCGATTCACCCGTCACGCAAGAACTTGACACTACGGCTTTTCTTTAAAGCTTTGGTTCGTAAATATCGCTCGTAGTCATACAAAACGAAAATCTCCCAAAAAACCTCAGAATTTGCGAAATGTGTAACACTGTTACAATTAAAATGACACTGATGCCATCATACAGTATCAATATCAAAATACACAATTTAATTTCCATACTACATGGTGACAGAAGTTAAAATTTACTACTAAATACTCAGTGCAGTCGAACTTGTGATTAGGCGGTCACCTACGGGGAATGGCGGGATGACCGCTTGATACAGGTTGCACAGGCTAGCGGTATTATAAAAAAAAGACTGCAAATGGCTACTGCTGCCACATCCCATATATACATGAGTCAGACTCGTTCCACATGGGAAGATGATTCAAGAAAAATAGTGACTAGTTGACACTCAACCACCAATAATCAAATGGTAACAAATAATCATATTAACATAATAATGATACTAATAATGATAGTAATAATAATAATAATAATAATGATAATAATAACAATAATGATCATATCAATAATAATGATAGTAATGATAACTTAAGGGGCTAGCTCAAGAACCTCACTGTTCCTCTATCGGTTTATTCTCTAGACTCCAATAATGATTAAACTAGGCTTCTTTGAATTTTAACTTTGATTTTGCCAGTTAATTATAAATTATTTTCTTGCTTCATTGCAATTCCATTTTTGTGGGACTTTTGTTTCATACAACAGGGCATTCCACGTTGTGAGTTATTCCGCCATTCCACTGTTCCACCGTTCGACGAGGTCACTGTAAACTCAAGGTATCATATTTCGGACCTTGCTCGCCTCGCAAATTTAACGGAATTTTTGAGCATTTGTCGCTGATTGAAATGGCAAAGTGTTCTCTTTTCGAATCAATAACATTTTCCTTAAAGTTTTCACGACGTGCAGATCAAACCTATTTCGATTTTTCAGTGAAGAAAAGTCTTTTTTTCACTTCCGTGCCGGAGACGCCACTGTGAAATTATTTTGAGAAGTTCATCATCTTTTGTAGTGTCTCGGCAAGAACCAAAAAAAAACTATATCTTCGGATTTACTGGGCATAATACGCTGATTTGAACTGTAAAATACTCTATCTTCAAAGAAGAAATCACACTTTTAAGACATTTCTGCAAGGTAAAGCTTTGTTTTTTTTTTAGACGCCATCCTGAAATAATTGTGAGATGCTCATCACAAACAATGAGTAGCATCAGGAAACCATATGATCAGATGCTAATTCCGACTAACATTCGAGGCGATCCGAGAGAAATCGTCAGTAAGCGTTGAACGACCGAAGATGCCCCGAAACATACAAAAGCCGAGAGCGAGGAATATCGGGTAACTCTCGACAGACTTCGTTGTGGGTGAAGTGGTTGTTCGTATTCTATTATCACACTCACTCAATAGTGCAACATTATGGCTTCATCTCCATAGAAGGCAGTAGCCATAACAAAGATACACAACGCCGCTTTTCAGTGACCATAGAAGACATGTGGAAAGCAATAAGAGAAAGGCCGTTGCGATTTTGCATTAATTAAGGAGAAAACAATTGAGGGACTTGGGTGACCGCTAAATACAGGTTAGACTGTACTCACAATGAGCAATCGTTGAAGCGTCCAGCTTGAGCACAGCGTCCCAACACTCCTTGGAGACCTTCGCGTCCACCGAAGAGATATTTGGAAGTGGTAGTTGAAGGCCAAGTGGATGTGCAAACTGGTCGTAGTATGCTGAGAGATTCAAGGCCATTATACAGGACGTTTGAAGGGTGAGAAACAAGAAAACTTCAAAGGCTTTAAAAGTGTTAGCCATTTTAGATCCAATCTGGTCGAACGATAAGTGCGATTCATCGTGGGTTTATTTATACTTTTACCGTCGTTAACCAAAAAGCTGATCACGAGTTTTGTTTACTAATACATATAAATTTATATATTAGCTCACACGAGCAGACGGAACGGCATGAAGAAAGATTTTAAAATACTCGTAGGGCACTGAATCTGCCAAAAATAGTACAAACACGTTTCAAACGCGTCACACTTAGTCAACGGGTGAATATTAATCTGGTGTTAAAAGAGCAGTCTGAAAGTTTTCAGTTGGTGACTTCGACAAAAGAATTGCAAAGAAACCATTCAAAACTTAAAATTTCCTTACACGGTTCTGTTTCTTTTTGGTTTTGAAATTTTGGAACTTTGCCCAACTTTATTACAATCGCTAAAAGCAGACCGTGCGATATTTACATCGTCCTATCTCAACATTGGTTTATATTATTACCTCACCGGAATCGGCTTGTGAGACTTTAATTAACCAGGAGCCCGTAGAAAGGAGAAAAACTGCTGTATTTTTCTTTTTTGTTTTCATTTATTGTAGTTGTCGAATATTGTTACCGTTTCAAACTTTTCAGCTTTAAAAGTGAGTTTCCAACGCTTTACCAATATCATAACGAGTCGAATGAGTCCCAACAAATTAGAGAATTGGCAAAAAATTGGTCTACCATGCTTCGTAACTCCACCTTTTTAAGTTTGAGAAGGGCTAAAATGAGATATGGACCTTCAATATACACATTCATTACATCGCTTGTAGCGCTTGTGGGCAAGATGAAGTGAATCCTGGGTTCTGATTGGCAACCCGAAACGGGATTGCTCGCATTGATCCCGTGCATGACTAGATGGAATTAGAGCTGCGTTCGAATTCTCGGACAATTTCGGCGACGGAAACGGAAAAAGCGGCAGAAGATAATCAAAACAAGGAAAACAGAAACGATTGTCGTGAGTTTGTTGTACTACAAACACGGTTGGCTTTCTTTCCCGGCTCTCAAAGTAAACAAGTCACTCTCAATTCTTTTTGCGAAATTTTTTTGCAATATAATGAATCCTTTATTAGCCAATCCTTTACTAACCAAGCTTATTAACCAAGTTCGCTCTTTTTTCGCATTTTTATAGACCTCGACTTCATCTCGGCCATAAAAATGCAAAAAAAGAACTCGACCAATATCCAGCCATCTTGACCTCGCGCTTGGTTAGTAACGCTTCTGCACTATACGAGATTTAATAGATATAGAGAAGGACTATTCTTTTGTTCAAAACGCGGCTATTTTTACAATATAGCTCCCTACTAGTATCTGGGACAAGCGGACACCGGTTGAGATCGATCACGTAGAGTTTGGTTTTTGTTCTCATGCGATCACGAGTTTATGGGATGACATGTTCCTTGACAAAAGTTGCTAAAAATACTATGAAGGCGCTGAATCTGAAATCTAACAATCAGGTCTTTGTACTTTTTATTTTTGTTTTTTTTCATTTCTTTATTCCTAAGTCTCCCGTGAGGATAACTTTTTCTGAATCATCCGCAGGTCGAACTACTATACATTTCATTTAAATGTGAGTAGTGCTTTCGTTGGTTTTTTTCTTGCTTGTAGGTTTATCATGACGTGACAAGCTTGTTGATTGTTAAGCATTTCATGGTTTTTGACAGACATAAAATCGTACTCAAATTCTCAAAAACCTCTAGCTCTTCAAAGTGTCAGCTTTCTCAAGCCAGCACTTTCAAGAAATTTTTATTTTCGTTTTACGAAAATTAGGTTTGATGGTGCGAAACCTGTGCTGAGAAGCATTTCATAATTAGTTTTTTTAACATCATTTAGTAATTTAGTTTCTTTTTAGTGATGTCAGTAATATAGTTCTCGCTTTTTAAAGTACGTCACGTCACGGGGGTATCTTGTGAGTCAGTAACATCCCAGGTCAGCGATATATATGCGTTATTGACCAAGCGTGAGGTAAAGATGACCCATAACATGAACACGTTGAAACTTGAAGTTACCAGTGGATATTATTTTGCCGGCTACTCGAGTATTACTGACTTATTAAAGAAATCACCCACTCTCGTCGTTTACTTTCTTGCTGTTAGTGAGGCTCCACTTCAACATGTAATCTTATTTGAACATTAAGAAATATCCTGGACCAGATGGAATACCACTGATAGAAATTTCTCAGAAAACTTATGCCATTAATCGCTGCACACCTCGCAAACTTTTGCAACTATTGAATAATAGCATAGAAAATGTCGCTGTTCATGTCGTTGTTGATGTCGTTGTTTTGTAGATAAATGACGCTTAACCGGTTGTCACAATTAGTCTCATGATTAGTCAGACTTCCAATTGTTTTGCTCTCTGATGAAAGAAAACTAAAACGAGAAAAATTTCCGGCTCGGATAGCGTATCCAATATCCTTCCTGTTTAACATAGTTAAAGGTGGCCTCTCTAAGGACAGGTCGGACATGTAAAAGTTTTTTAGCACAGATTTGTTTTGACTGATGAATCTCTAAAAATATTGGTATATTGTTTGAATCCAAACCATCGAAGAAATAAAACCAAAAAGTGGACGACAAAAGGCATATGGCACACTTCATTGACATGACAATGATCCGTTCATTCGCATTAAGTTTCTCTCTCATTAATTGTCAAGTCTATACACTATGAAAATGTTCTATAACTCGATTTTCCCAAACGTCTCCTTTCTTTTCTCCGGTGACCCTTTGTTCTAAATCATTATTTTGTGCCGTATTTTGACGAGCCCTACGGGCCCTACGGGCTCGTCAAAATACAAGTAACGAGTAAAAATACTCAGCGATACTACACAACAAAACATCTTATAAGTCATTTATTATCCAACATGCCGAATTGTTATTTCAGTGCGGGCGAATTTCGCAGATATTTATATACGGCCTCGATTAACTATGTATACGGGGAGTGCGTGACAGAAGTATGCGAAGCGGAACGGAATTGGCGCGTTGTCGTGTTGCTGATTCTGTTTTCTTCAATAAATGAAGAAATTTCCTGGTCGTCTAGTCGTTTGTCTTCGTTCGATTTATCTAATAAACTTGTATCTTTATTTGCCAGCCATTATGACTCTTCTTCGTCAGAAGTATGATTCAAGTTGTCGGCCATTTTTCTTTTCTTAACTTCAATCCAATTCACTTGCGCGATGCGAGAAAACCTGTCTAACCAGAACTCTGGAGCACAAATATCGCGTGATGTTTGTAGTCGTCCACGGCGTTATTTGTACTCTAAGGTGTGTAGTTGGATAATCAGTGAACTTACAATTACATAGGATAATTCCAATTTGTTTCGCTGATGAATGCAAATGAGTGAACCTTTCTTCTTCCCTTGCTGTACACCTGTCTACTGTCAGCTATGACCTGCGATCGTCACAAATATCTTGTGTGGCTCTGGTTCTTCATTTTTACGTACAATTCTTTCGGTGTTTACCGGCAACTCCACCGTGAACAAAACAAAGAATAACTACTGCCATCACGGCCAAGCTTACAGACGACTTCATCACAAATCATTTAGTCACCCATTTAGGAGGGGTGGGTTTTTAACAAGACTATTTGTGGAAATCCAGTTTCTATATCAATGAAATTACAGGCAAGTAATCAGTAGACACACTGTTGAACATTTGAATGACGTCACTGTTCAACTATTTCTATTGAGGATCAGTTTTTCTAGCTGCATGGCTGGAACTTCCACACAAACAGACAATATGAATGCTACTCCATATGTTAAGCTCGTGACGCCTGCAAAACGATAGGCCTGAGGAAATACAAAATCAGAGATTTGGAATCAATCATCATTTTAGTGCTTCGTTGGAGGAAGGTGCAATGACCCTTCTTAAAGCCATCAAAATACTGAATTAATTTCTAATGCGACAAAGTTGCTAGGATAACTTGAGGCTGAGAATTTATAAGTATGTTACTCACCATGTGAACGTCAGAGTATGTCCAAACAAACTCATTTGACCATAACAGGTTCAAAAGAACAACGAAATGAACGAGATAGCTGCAGTAATTCAGACGGCTTAAAAGAATCCAGAAACGGGCCGAGAGAATCTTGTTCACCAAACCTTCAAAGTGAAAATACGTGGAAGAAGGGGTAAGGAACTAGTAATTATACATCGCCTAAGGGGTGTTGAGTAATTTTTTTATGACCGCGTGGATTTCAGAGAGGAAGGAGCCGGGATCATAAGAATTTCACAAAGCTTAGAGTTTTATGACGGGATAATTATTGACCAGTCTTTTAGCTGCATTAATTGAACTTTAACGCCCTTCCCCTCACCACTATCTAATTAAGCCGTTGGTAAGACCTCTACATTGGTAAAGTCTGTTTATGAGTCAAGTGGCTCATCAGGCCAGCGATTTTCGTAGCAAGGAGCGACTAGGAGTATTTCTACTCCCCCCTGGATGGGATGTTAGTCCATCCCAGGGTTACCCCCCAGCATTTAAACACCTGGGTGAAGATGGGTATTGTGAGAGTAACTAGTCTTGCCTACGAACAAAACAAAATGTTCACGGCCAGGGCTAGAACCCGGACCACTCGATCCGGAGTCGAGCGCACCATGAGGCCGCCGCGCCTCTTTTTCTCAACATCACTTTGCTCTTACCTAAAAATATCTAGACAGTAGTTGTAGAGAGGGAGTGCAAGCCTTTTGATGACGTCTTCGAGGCCCAAATCATCCATGTGACTCATAAAATGGACACGTTCTCATGTAGAGTTTTTATTGTCCTATCAATTAGCACGTTTATTCAGAGAAATTCAACATGAGAATCGCCTTCATTAGTGAGGTGTAAATAAGAACGAAAATGTGTCCTGTTTACCGGTCTAGGCCTACCTTCCTGTTTTTAAGATATTATAAAACACATGCCTCTGTTTATAGGATAACATGTTTCCTTTGATTTATACTGATGAAAAACAAATTTATAACTTTCCATTGTCAAGAAAGGAGGTAGGTTTCTTGTGTACACCAGAAGTAAAACATCTTGGCGACTGATTGGTTGAATATATCGTAATTGACAGTAGCAAACTGAAATGACCTCCTCGCTGCTCACATAAGCTTCTTTAGGAACAAAATTTGTCGATGCATGCAAACTATATCACGTGCAAGAAAGAAGGGCCTGTCATTGTCCACCGCATTAAGTCCGTTAATCTACATTCCACCTCTAAAGCTAAGTGACACTCTACATGAGCATCAGTTGAACTTTGGCGATGAGTTTCTTTCCTTTTAGCCAGTAATTTGCCAAAGTACACCTAAATATCCTACAATAATTTGTACGAGTGCAAAAATTGCAAATCGCCATTGTTAATAACGAACTGTTAACTTACCTCCGAGCCCGCGTTGGCACGCAAAAATTACCCAGGCAATTGTCAGGCTCCACGTAAATCGTGAAAAGGTCCCGTATGAGATGGATTGGGTGCGAGAGAACGGTTGAGGATTGTCCTCTCTTACAGTCTGGTATTTGCCATACAAAGTGGACATAGCGAGGATGATGGCCAGACACCAGCCAGTCACATTAAACACGTACCTGCCAAACTTGACAAAGAGCAACAAATAGTGATCATCAAAAGGATTCATGAACACCCACTACTGATTTTTCAACTCTAGGATATTGGTTACATAGCTATGGAATAGAGAATGGAGGAAATAGGCAAGGATAAGTGGAGAATGGGTGACACATCCCCCAAAATATCAAATTTTTAAAGGAACATGAATTCACTCCTTTTTATTTTCCAAATAAGATGATTAACGTACTCGAAGCGTGTACTTGCCTAAGCTATTTTGTTTGTATTTGTGCCTGGAAAGTTGTGTCACAAAGCCGAGCCAGTTTTCCCGAATCTTCTTCTAACAGTTATAAACAGCAGTTTGGTCGTCACACGTGGAAAATCTGAAACTTTCTTCTTGTACTTTGTCTTCAGCGACTGCATTTTTCATGGCAGTATCGACATCTTTTTGAAGACTGGAAACCCTCATTCGAGTGCTTGATATCTGCAAACTCTAGTATTTTAAATTTATTTGTCTAGATTTTCCATGATAAGTCAAAGAGTGGACTTTTCTGTTAACGTCTTGTTAAAAAAGGATCTTTCATTGATAATTTGAAGCCTTCTGGCTCAAACGATACCAGTGTTCCGTGTTAGTCACTGACAAAGATATAGAAATTTTAATAAAAAACCAACAGACTAGTCAGTTTTCAAACCTTCCCCGCTTTGTCACTCCGTCTCTACTTACGCGTTTTATATTTTTTTTTACTAATTCGCTCCGTTTTACCAAATGATTGCTTTCAACAGGCTAGCTTATTGGCCCCTTGAATCATCTTTCCGATTCTTTCTCATTTGCCGTTGTGACAAAGGTGCATGGTTTTGGTCTTACCCAATCAGCCAAAATACGCTTTACTAGATTTTTGACGTGCCAAAGGAGAGCGGATATACCGTAATGATCGCGATACCTTTGTAGGGAGCCTCCAGTCCTTTGCCTTATGAAGCAAATATCCCAACACCATACCAACAAGGTATGAAGGGATACGACAGTATGGTTTGGTGTATACAAGGTCGTAATCATCACTGCAACGGAATAGCACAAATATATATTACAAAGTATTGTTCAGTCCTATTGATGGGATGAAACAACTTACCAAAGGACTGAATATCAAGCAAAGAAAAGATTCTAACCCCGTGAGATCATAAGAAGAATAAATGGTGGCTGTAATGAAAAAACTGGCAGCCAACAATACAGCGACAATGGCAAGCAGTCCTCGCAGGTGAAACCTGAAATTAATAATGATAAAGATAATAATAAGTCTTAACTAAAATAGTGGAAGGCGTGATCTGATTGGCTACTCAAACTCCAAATATTCTTTGCTGTTTACCTCCGAACAACTCGCAGGTGAATCGCTGCCCGAAAATATTGTAATCGTTGCAGGAATAAATGAATTAAGATCATTATTGTAGTCTTCAAAATCGGGAATTCTTCAAAATCTTCAAACCTCTTTTGGCAAACGGAAATGGAGCCTCCGATAATGATCGTATGTTATAGAATGTGAACGGAACTGTGGCTAAAGACTAAAACGTAATTTAGGAAGAGTTTGCTGGTTATTTTGCTACTGTAGCTAACGATATTGGTGGTAATCCAAATTATCTTTAACACAGGACGATTTTATAGCCCATCCAAGTGTCACAAACATTGAAAACAACCGGCCGTCTACCGATACGTTCACATTTACAGAGATCTCTTATGACGAAACTACAAAAGCCTTAGATGGCCCTAACTCTTCAAAGTCGACTGGTCCTGACTTAATACCGCCGAGAATATTGAAGATAGCCGCAATGGAACTTGCACCATCAATGACAAAAATGTCTAATCTATCAATAATATCAGGGTATTATCCCAAGAGATGAAAGAGAGGGGATTGAGTACCTGTTTCAAGAAAAATTCCAAAATGGGGAAGAATAACTACAGACCCGTAACAGTGTTAAATGCCGTAAATAAAGTCTTTGAACTGCTGCTAAGCAAGCAAAAGGTAACCAAGGTAGATTCACGTCTTTCTCAAAATATATCAGCTTACAGAAAGGGTCACAACTGCCAGACTTCCCTAATAAAACTCATAGAAGATTGGAGACTGGCCATTGACAAAGGAAAGTTTGTGGGGCTCATTTCTACTGATAGCAGCAAAGCATTTGACTCTCTCCTTCCGGCGCTCATGGTCAAGAAACTGCAAGCCTATAATTTCTCTGATTTGTCATTACTTCTCCTAAGATCGTATTTTCAAGACCGGCAGGGAAGGGTTAACCTTGCCACAGTTTTTGGCACGATATCAGAAAAGGCTGCCCTCAAGGGTCATGTTTCGGACCTTTGCTGTGGAACATGTTTCAGAATCACTTAAGTTTTGGTATTAAGAACTGTGATCTTTCTATAGACGCAGCCGACCATCAAATATGTGCCTCTCATCAGCTGATTGAAGACGTTGTTACTCTGTTAAATAAGGAGACTAAGATTGTATCCGACTGGTATAAAGATCATTTCCTGCTGGCAAACAAAGTCAAATATCAGGCAATGTTTCTAGCGTCAAAAGCAAAGAATACGCAACAGGCGCAGATTGTCATTGACAATGAAGACATGGAATGCACAAGTTCTTGAACGCTGTTAGGATTCCTTATATATAATAAACTTATTTTTGGTGCATTCAACAAGTCTGAAGGAAAGCAAACTGCAAAATTGGTGCCCTCTCGAGGATGAAGAACCTAGTTCCAGGAAGGACGAAGTTACATCTGTTTAAAGTGGTAATTATCCCGAAGCTAAACTATTGCTCACTTGTTTGGCTATTCCTTAGAGCATCTGACCAGCGGAAATTGGAGAGGATACAGGAAAAAGGACTGAGAGCGGTTTTCATGGACAGTGTATCAACATACGAACAGCTGCTAAAGAAAGTAGGATTACCTACATTATGTAATAGAAGACTGCAAGACCTGATGGTGTTAAAGTTCATTCACCTGTATGTTATGAACAGGATCACAGGAGCAATGATGTAAAATTGCATATCATCAGCTAAGTACCATGTCCAACTCATACACTGTAGAGTAAAAAGGAGACAAATCTAATGTTATTAAAAAATTATTCAGAGGTTCTAAGTGACACCTTTTAATTTACCATGGTTCCATGAAATTGAATCTTCCACCAATCGTGCAATTTTAAACTGAGTGTCGAAACTAATCCGATATATATTTTTTAAATTTTTTATGATTGGTCGACAAAACTCGTGCAATCTTCTAACCAATCAGACAGAGCTATATGGCAATCCATTGGGTCGTCCGCGTTTTCCAGCGTTTTTTGATGATTTGCCGTTTTAACTTTGAGCGGTCATTGGTTAACGTCTATTGTATCTACGCTTCCACGCACGTAATAACAACAATGTTTTGAGAGCAAAAGTTGAAGGTATTCTCTCCCAATGCATGGTAGCGCTATGCATTTATTGCTGCCAGGCAAAAAGAAAGAGAAAAACACAATGGAGCTATGCGAGCTCTATCACTTGATTTCTTAAGTCAGTGGATAGGGGTACACCACACCTGAAATTTCTGCCTTGTTTTTTAACGCAAACACCATTGCCGACCATCATCAACAAGCAGAAAGACCTTCTCAAGTGGGCAGGCAATGCAAAATGGGAAAACTTTGAAGTTTGATGTTAAAAAATTGAAGTCTGATAGGCCGACGGTAATCATGACGTAAATCTTTGCCATGATTCGCTAAACGGTCGAAAACTGCTTTATGACAGTTGGTGTTTCGTGGCACAAATGAGATGTTTCTACTTATAGCTGAATGCCTCACCGATTCATACCCATTGTTAGTTTTCTTGGGATAGAAGTTGTTGTTATAGAGAAGATTCGTCCACCAGCACTTGTCACATTGTGAGTTATTTTGTGCTAAAAACCAAGAAGGCCCCTTGCCAAGAAATCCATGTAATTTATCTTAGAACAGCACTACAAACATGTAAGTTGGTGTCAACCTGTAAAAAGATTGTAATCACATAATCTCGGAAGATAAATGATGCAAATGCCGTGATTTGTGATGGTTTTCACACCATTTCTTTTTCGTTCTTTGCGCACCCGCTTCTACGCTTGTTTCTGCTTTTTAGCCTATTTTCTTTATTTGACTAAGTATGACTTTGTAAGTTAAAATTGAAACGCAACATGTTTTGTCGGAAGAAGAGGGAAGTAAGAAATACCCACCTCCAGAAGCGATGAAAATAGTAGTGAAAGAGTGGCAACTTTCCGTTGTTTTTGTCCATGTGACGCAGCGATAAATACGTTACTAGGAGGCCACTGCAAATTAAGGACGAAATCTCGCAATCACGATACCTCCATCAGGCTTCTAAAATGTTTTTCTAGTCAAGTGACTCTAATTTTAGGCATAGACTGTGTAAATTGGTTCTTTAAGATTCTTGATTTAGATCTTAAACCTAGCATAACGAGCCTAAGAAGCTCAGCCCCCACCCCCCTCAATGAATCATATATTGACTTCATTAAAAAAAAAAATAATAGTTTCCGAAAATTGATTTTCAAGAAATTGATGTCTAGGTACAAACATCGGTTGAATGTGCTCACCTCAAGACGAAAAAGGTGTCGACTGAAAATGATGAATTTTGGATGGCTTGAAACGTGAAACGTTGAACAAGTTCTTTAAGTGATGAAGGGTTCGCTGAAAAAGTAATAATTATGGATTAATGGAATACCAGAAGAATAATTTGAATTCGTTATACTGCTTGCTTGGTTAGCGCGGGACCACTTGGTTGGAATTGAGCTCAGAACGATAACTGCATCTCTGTAGG